TTTTTTGTATGATCTTACATGAACATATATGATTCTGACATCTGATCGGATATGGTCATATATGAATCCATAGCTGATCTTACTATCTGATTGCTCGACCTGGGTGAAATCGATAGACGCATGACTTCGGACGGAGTTTCGTATGCGATCTTGTATGATCATCTATGATTCATATTATCTGAATCATACATATTTTCTTGACGATAGAACTTATATGATCGTGTCTGACCAGGTCCATGCCATAATACCTGTCCTTATACGTTTCGTACGGTATGATTCTTGCAAGATTTTTGCTGGCATCTTTCATTCAGAATCTGACTAAATCTTACAAAAAATCAACTTATACGACATTGTCGGATCCTGTTATAAGATCATATAAAAAATCTTGTATGTACAAGATCTGACAAGATCTTTCAAGATCTGATGTCAGATTTTTTGACCTCGGTAGCCAACTCTTTCCTATCCCTGTAAAATAGGATAGGATAAGTTACGTTAGGGTAGGCTAGAGTAAGAATAGTACAGGAAATATTCCTGATAGAATAAGGATATTGTTTATATTGGTAAGAATCTTGTGGCAAGTAACTACAAAGACGCTTTTGATATTTCTTTCGTTCTGAAGAAGTCATTGTTTATGTTCAGAGAAAATAAAGTCTCGGGAATGAAGAATCAGTATTGAACTAGTGAGACAAATGTTTATTGAACTATACATAATCTGGAATATTGAAAATGGCTATTAGGAGTTTCGGCTGGTTCAGTCACAAGTAAATATACTTTTAGCGAAAATCAGAGAATTTTCGGATAGAGAAAACAAAACTTAAACAATGCCATTGTTAATATTATTATACTTTTAGGAAACTGTTAGAGTATGCGATAATTTTGTATTTAATAATCTTTGAAAATTAGTAACATATGCTGAAACATAGTAGGAAAGCTTCCCGTTGAAACCTGCCAAAATATAGAAATCTAACGGTATGGTACAGTTTATGAAACAAAATTTATAGGGAAGGAGAGGACGAGGGTACGAAAAAATTTTATCCTGCAAGACTCTTGAGGATGAGTATGGATGGATGTGACTGTGACTCTTGTCTTTACGTACACTCAGAAAGATTACTTTCGTATAAGCATGAGCGAGAACCATCTACTGATCTTGTTCGCGAAATTATCTTCGTCACAGAGGAGACAAAAGGTAATTTTTTTGTAAATATTCAATTCGCTTCAATATCAATATGACATCGTTCACATACGTAATATGAATATTAAGACGTTTGATACGATGAGATTATTTCAAACAGATAGTATTGAGAGTTATCAACTTCATTCTCTTAGAACAATTACAACTTACTTTAATTGAACGAAAACTCCATGTTTGTTTGAATAGAGTATCCATTTTGACATTCAAGTTCGTATCGAACTTACACTCACACTGAAAATATAAGTATATTGTTTAGAGATTCGACAGATTAAGATTTATTCAAAGATGCTCAATGAAGCGAATAGGCCATTTTCGATCCATCATTAGTCACATTTCGAAACAGATAATTCGTTTTTGGATTTTTTGTAAAAATAGAAATATATAACCTTTAAAAAAATTGAAATACGAAATATAAAACTATTGTCAAGTTAACAAAATCATGTAAATAGTAAAGATCGTTGTTGTATTAAATAAAGATGCTTTTGTTGAAAGAATTTCATATTTAAATGAAACAATTTTGCTCAACAAAGAATCTATCTTGCCTTTAAAAATTTAAAAACTTTGCCTTAAACGAATATGTTCCAGTATCCTTTATCGAATATTTTACAACCGAAAAACCTTCGTATTTATATAGAGCGATGAAAGAAATATTATTTTCAAGAGTTCCATAGGAAATGAAACCGTTTTGTACAGCCATAGTGAAATAAATTATCTACACGAAATATATGTACATCAGTTTTTACTAAAACCTTTTGAGAGGATGAACCATATTTACCTCAAATCGTCGTACAGATACAAGAGTTTATAACTACTCTTTTGAAGAATAAATGATTGGCAATATTGAAGAGGAAATATTTTAAGTTAATTGTATTTCTCTCGAAATCAAGTTTTCCTATAAAAAATACTGAACCAACTCCATTTTCTTTGGCATAGTAAGATCAATGGAATACAGGAATTTTTTGTAAAAAGTACTCCCCACGTTAAAAACAATCTATAGGATAAACAAAAACTAGTCAACTACTTGAAAATAACAATGTGTAATCAATTATTTTCTATTAAAAAAACTACATAGTACAATTCATTAGATTAATAATCATCAGTGTGCGATTAAAATGTACCATTTATCGCTCAAATTTTAATAGTTTTTAATCAAAATTAATGACAGTTATTTAATTAAGTTTTTACACGATGAGATAGTTTTTTATAGTCTTCAAAAAAAATATTATTTTTTTCGTCTGAGTACATTTTACAAAACACGATGTAATAAAACAAAACAAATGAGATTCTGATACTTTCGTACATTTACTCTTTTATTAGGATAGAACAGAATAAAATGAAACTAAATCTAATACTTCATTAAAACAGAAATTATTGCATGTATAAATAGATTTCTATTAATAAAGAGATGCTACATTTTCTTATGACTAGAAACTTCTGAGTTGATACTTTGCCCACTAGTATGAGACTATTAAACTGTAGCCACCTTCAAATGAGTCATGATCTTATTATGTTATGATTCTCAACAAATTCCTTATTATTATGATATTTGCTCCGAATGCTAAGAGCTACATTAGCAATGATATTTGGTCGAAAACATATATCATTATGATATTCATACCTAAACCAATTTCTTTGAACCCATGTAGAAAAATCGACAAAAAAGTCCGATTTTAATCGTTTTTTTTGATTAAAAGCCGATTAAAATGGCATGATTTTAATCATTTTTAATAATTTTAATGTAATTTATCGACGTTTTGGCTTACATGAGTAAGTATGAATTGATGTCGTATGTGGAAGTGTATGAAAGATAGGGCTAGTACTACACTTATCATTTGTCGATGCAAGAAGTCAGAAAAAATAATCGAAAAATGGAGTTTATAAGTCAAAACTAAAGAAAAACGTGTTTTATAGTTATAGCAACAAAAATTGATTGAAAATTAAATAATCGATTACAAATGATTAAAATCATGCAATTGTAATCTTTTTTTAATCGATTTTTTTCTGAGTAAAAAACGATTAAAATCAGATTTCTTTTGTCGTTTTTTTTTACATGGGAAATATTTGTCTTGATTTATTTTTTTTTCTTGTTTTCGATTTATATTAGTTTCACCAATCTCGGACAACATTTGATACATCACTTGCCGTTTATTAACAAACTTAGAAGTTTACTCTAATGTTGAAGCAGATACTGAAACAGTAGCAGATATTTCCTTGTCAACTACATTCTTGCCGTTTGTGGTACTCAAATTATCATCTTGTAAAACTAGGTTATATTTAGATCGCGCTTCAATAGTAACGGAACGTCTTGAACGTAAAAAAATTTGAATAGCATCCATAACCAAAAGTAAAATCCGCTATTGTCGACTGATACGTTTAATGATCGTCCTTCTAAGATGAGCATTACGTTTCATTTTCACTTTACTCAATGCAGATTTTGTTTGAATCATTTTTAAATAAATAAACTTTTAATGAGTTATTGTTTTTTTGTCCCATAACAAGTTTTATACTGATATTACACTTGCTTGATTCAACAAAATACAATTATAGTTTTTCAATGATAATGACGGTATCTAGTTACTTATTGAAGACACCAATAAGCAAAATCCTTTCGAATGATTTTTTTGTTTCGTTTCATCTTCTTCAAAACGTTACCACATGCTTTCTGATAATATGAAAGAAGTATGGGTTTTACAAAACAGTATAAATTTTACAAATAAATGAATCACATATAAAATGATTTAAAAAAAACCAACCATTTACATAGTTAGCACCATGTAACCTCTTAAACATGTTCAAAATTTTTACCAATTCAAAATTAAACAAAATTAATTGAATTTAGATGTAGATATATTAATTTAAGTTTATATTTAAACAGGTGAGAAAAATAAGTTACAAATTTATATATACATGTGGTCAAAACTTCAAAAGATGGCAGGAACAGTCGATCGAATCGTTTTTTCTTTTACTGTTAAATTATCTCAAAAGAACCACGAGATTTTCACTTCAAAATCCTCAATTTGTAATGACAATTGAATTGGGAACAAACACAAATTGATAGCGGAGAGTTCGAGTTGCATACGAAATACACTGTGAAACATGCAAATTCGAGTTTCAAAAAAACATGATTTGTGATAAAAGCCGAGTAATCGATCTTGAGATCTATCGTATGCCGCTCTTCCTCTAAAAATGTTTACATTTTACTGGAATTAAACATTTTGTGAGTCGTTTGAGAATTCAAAAAGTGGCATTTCTATCTATCAGCTGATCATATTTCGAGCTAGCGTCAAAAGTAACCATAATAAAATTCGTCGCTACGAAAACTCTATGAACGCATATCGATATGTTTCTAAAATATGTAGAAAGCAAGTTTATATAATGAATACATTCAATGACGCAAAAAAAAAGATATAACGAAAGAATATATCGATAAAATACATGTATACAAGACAGAAAAGAAAGAGAAGAAATGTCCTCATCATAGTCTCTTCTAATAGTTGTGTTAACTTTATTCTTCAGAATTCACGAAACATTGTTTTCATGTTTATTTTGTTTTAGAAAATTATGTCAACTGAAGATGTACAAAAAATGGATGATATACCATCTAGTTCTGATAATAAACATTTTCCAGCTCGGCCAACTACACAAGAAATTCATCAAGAAAACTTATTACTTAATGATCAGGTTTTACAAACATCACATAAAAATCAAGAATTAATAATGTTTCTTGAAGAACAAAATACAAATAAAATTGATCGTGAACAACAAACAATTCGAATAAATCAGCATGATTCATACACACAAACAGATTTAGTAGCAATAACAACAGGTCAAGAACAAATCAATTTATTAAATGATTATCATATTTTATCAATATTCAAACATCAAAATAAACTAATAGTAAATTTTAACCCCCAACAAAGTACTAATAAACAAATTGATCATGATCAAGCACAACAAACAATTGAAGTAAATCAACATGAGGCACAAACGGATTTAATAACAACAACAACAACAGTATCAAGTCAACAAAAAAACATGAAATCAAATCTTGATGTATGTATACGAAATAATTTTTTCATGTTTTTGTTTAAATAAAATATTCAATTTTGTATTTAAAATAGGTTAATGGAGTGAATTCTACACCAACTTCAAAAGTTTTATCAGCAACAAATCCAAGTGATAAAACTGTCAATTTTCTTGGTCCATTTGAAACAATAGCTCCATCATTACAGCAAGTAATAAATTGTTCAAAAACAACTAATTCAGTAATAACATCAGCTATTAAAAAAATGACATCAATTCGAAAAACTAAATCTCATCGTTCACGATCTCTCGAATTTGCTACTCGACCAACATCTCATAATATTGTTGATTTAACAGAAAAAGATGATGATACTACAAATAAAGCATACACAGAAAAAATGACGTCAATCAAATCAGTTAGTATATTATTCTGTCCATTATTATTTATTCATTTATTTATTTATGAATTTTTTTTTAGAAACAAAGTTCAATATCTACACTATCATCAACAGTCACGTCTATTCGTATGTTTTTATTAATATTAAACATTTCAGATAATGTATTAACTCTTGTAGAACCTACAAATCGTTCAATTTGTCCAAATACTACTATTCCACTTGGAGAGGTAAATAATAAAAATTTATCCTATCTATGATTTAATTTAATTTTTATTTAATCGAAAGTCTCCAGTCTAAGTCTAAATCTATTTTATTGATTGAATATTATCATTTCAGACAATTATTTTACCTCCATTACTTGAACATAATCCATGTGACAATAGCATAACTCGACCTCAATTACTTATAAAACATAAAGATACAATGATTCAATTAATTTGGAATTTACCTTCAACATCAATGGAATCTATAGAAGAGTATGAAATTTATACATATCAACAAAGTTTAACAACAGTGTTATCTGGTTGGGAAAAAGTATGGATAATAATTATTATGAAAATTTATAATGAATTTGTTATTTCTTCTCTTTTCTTTTTTTAGTTGAAGACAGTTAAATCAAAGCATCGTCCAATGAGAGCTGCTATAAAGTACTTTCAATATAATTGTCATTATGCATTTGCTATTCGAGCAATATCAATTAATAATGGCGTTGGTCGTTTTTCTAAACCAAAAACAATATTTATAGGAAGCATATACACCTATTGATCCTCTTACATACACACCAGTTAAATCTTTATAATGTGTCATCATAATGAACATTTGTCTATCTGCGTATCTCTAGATTGTGTTCCAATATACGCATGATATTATTCTTATTTTCTTGATAGTTTATTTTCTTTTTCTTAACTTTATATATATCAAATATAATTTTTATCTAAAAAACATAATGGATATAATACTCTCTTTTTAATAAGTATCAAAATTTCATTTATTAATATTAAACAAGAAAAATAGTTTAAAATTATATAAATACATATGTTAAGCTTGTTAATATTTTTCGAACATTGACTATGTTAAAAGATCTTCAAAATGAATTTAAATGGATGAATATACAAATAAATGTAATTATCTTTAACTTTATCTCAAGAAGCACTCTATTGGTCTGAGATGAGTTTAATATACTACTCGACAGAAATGATTTTATGTAATGAATGAATTCTACTAACTGTTGAATCGTTTTTTGAATCAAGATTATATACAACATGTCGATACTCATAAGCTATGAATAAACTGAGAAAATTTCGAGTTGTTTGTTTATCGCTACGAAAATACTAGACGTTTACAATATTCTTGTTAAAGTCAAAGCCGTTGTTCGTATTAGAAACAATTTAACAACTAGTATTCAATCTTCGACTTGAAACTTAGCATTGTGATGGATCTTAATTAGAATATATTGTTGTGAAAATTTCAATTTTTTTCTATTTACTCGTGTCTTGAAATAGGAATATCGAATCTGCCTATGTTGATAATCAATTTAAAAGACATATTTTACCACAGACGACGTATCTCAAGATAAGAAACAACGAAAATATATGAAACTTTTGCAATAAGCTATTCTCATTAAGACATCTGTCTGTGACATTTTCAAAGGAAAATTTAGAAAAACAGTTCTCGTACTTTTCCTAAGTAAGCCGACGGCACTGACTTAAAAGATGCAATAAGTCATACTTTTTAACTTTATCGTTATTCCTTCGGGTTGCAACAAATTTTTTTTTTTCATTAATATCTTACTACTTATCTTTTTCAAATACAGTTTAATTGTACGTGCAAATCTTGATCACTTTTAAAAAGAAAAATAGGAAGAACATTTCACCATGTACGTGTAAAAAAAGAGCTCATCCAACAGTTCAAATACGCATTCACTCTATCTTACTCATGATGAGAAATTCAGAAAAACTCATACAATCAATATAATGTTTCAATTTAAAATTTTTTTATCTCCTTAAAGATTAATAAAACGAGGTATGAAAAACAATCAGTAAGGATAATATAATAAATTTAAATATTCATTAATAGCATAATGATTTATGTAAATACTCACAATGTATCAGCGATTGTGTGTGATGGACATGCACTTAACATAAGATAAGTTAATCTCCAATGTATCCATACGTATTGGTTTTCTTTGTGCAATGCTTGTCGTTGATAATAAAGTCTATGGATTAACTTTAGCTGAATAATGTGCATTAATTAAAGTACGAAAAACAGCAAAAACCGTATAAGCAAATATTTGAGGATATAATGGTTGTGTTGATGCAGCAAATTCTAAAACAATTTTAGTCATTCAACGAACGATCCGATAAACGAATATGTACAAGTAATAATGATAATGGTCGTAATAGAAGTAAAGTTTCATATGGTAATGTTGATGATTGTTTAGTACCTTCATATTATTCTTCAACAAATTCAATAAGAATATTATCCTATGATGATATTATTGATGAACTATCAATCATTTCTTGTTCTTCATTTACATGTTCATTATTTAATGAATTTATATTTTCATTTGGAGCTTGTAATAATCTATAAATACGTGCAAGTATTAAAACAAGATGATCAATATTTAACCATGATTATTGACGTATTATTGTTATTGAACGTTTATATAAACGTCATATATCATTTTTAAGGATATTGACCAAGTATTAAAAGTCTTTCAAGAGGAATCGATATAGTTTTTTTTTGTGTTAAATTATCATTTATATCGAATATACCGTCTTTAATTAATGATAATAAAATATCATATGAATTTAAATAATTATTTTCAATTAAATAAAATAAAACCATTTAAACGTATATCTAAATTATATTTTAATGTATTATTTTATATATCATTATTTAATTCTTGTATTATTATTGGTATTAATAATTTATTTAAATCATCTTCATGACTTTCAAGTAAAACTAAATATGATGCATATGCATGAATTTTAGTTATTAATTTAATATAACGTTCAATTAAACATATAAATAACTCATTATATTTTTTTGTTGTTGGTTCAAGTAATATAGGGTGTCCTGAAAGTCATCAGAATTGGGAAAATTTGTATATTTCCATTACGGCTCGAGCAAGCAAGCTCTTTTTTTTTAAATCAAGGATAAAGGCATGTTCACGCTCAAAATCCATAGGGACAAGGGTATTGAGAATCTTTGTTAAGTATCACTATTGAACTCAACAAGAACATTTTACTGTTTCACAGGTAGGAAAAAAGCAGTATACAAGATAGTGCAAAAGGTACTTTATTGAAAGGAAAATTGAATATCTCCATTATGGCTCGGTCAAACGATCTGATTTTTTTACCAAGAATAGAGGCATGTTTACATTTCAAATCCATAGGGATAAAGTTAGTGAAAACCTTTGTTAAGTATATGATTTTTTTTTATCTGTGAAGAAGTAAAGTGTTCTTATTGAGGTCAATAGTCATACTTAACAAAGGTTTTCACTAATCTTGTCCGTATGGATTTGGAATGTGAACATGCCTCTATTCTTGGTAAAAAAAAATGACGCCATTTGGTCGAACCGTAATGGAGATATTTAAATTTTCCGAACTCTAATGACTTTCAGGACATCCTATATACCAGATTTACATAAGCCATAACTTATTAATCATATCATTAAATTATCTTTATCAAACCGTGTACGAAAATAATCATCACATAAATCATATAAATTAGATAATTGTTGTGATGATGTAAATAAATCAGAAAGATATATAAATGAACGTATTAATTCATATTTTAATTGAAGACATAAATTATTTGTATTCGTTGTTAACCAACGAACATAAAGTTCAATTAGAATTTGTAGTGAAGATGTTAAATCAAGACCATGACGAGAAAATAAACGATCGAATAAACTCTAGAACAAAATATTTTTTGTTATTAAGATAATCAAACTTTTCATCACAGGAAAAATTGGGAAATAGTGTAGGGAATATATATACCTTCACAAAGTCATTTTCGAATATGCGAATATATAGCATTAAGAGATATTTATAACATTTTGTTCATGTGATGGCTTGTCTTAGGATCTTTTATAAGAATACTATTGACATAACTATCTGATTGATAAGAATTTTTTCGGATGTTTTAAAGTTTATTTATAGGATGCAGCAAGTATTTATAATGCGCTTGAAATTATTGATATAACCTTTTATCTATATGAAATAGGATATTTTGCTTCTATTATATTTCAGATAAATCAAAGTCAGAGAAATAGTATATATTTCATTCGATAAAATTAATAATTTCACAACAATATTTTCTTGAATCTATCTTTCTTTTAACCAAGACTTCTCATGTGCAATAAAATTTTAATTTGTGAGTATAGTTAGGAGAAGAAATTCACTTGAACATTTGTAAATATGATTCAAATTAAAAGCGGTTTCGACATTTTTTTTTTCCTTTCACATCTGTTTAATATCCAATATTGATCCAAGATACAATTTCTACTCTTTCATAGTTTTTCAATAATTAAAACATATATAAACTTACATTTACTGGCATTAGTAATGTATTATTACTTTGAATTGATATTAATATAGTATCATATGAAAGTTGTCCGTAAAATAATAAATCACGTGTTCCTAATCGTTCAAGATTTATAAATAAATTATTTGAACTTGTTTCTAATGTTGAACGTGTTTGCATATATTGACCATCAATATCAATTAATAAAAATAGAATAGATTTATTTCGACATCGATGTTCAAATGTCATATCAGCTGAATTTCCTGTACAATTGAGTTGAAAAGCATTTAATAAAAATGTTGTTATACCACAAACACGAATCTATACACTATGAAGAGAAGAAAGCAGAAAAAAATCAGACAAAATCTATCTATTATCTTTATAAAATATCAATATAATGAAATATTAATTATTAAAAAGTTTCTATTCATGACTAGAAACATTTTCTTATATTCATATCTCGAAAAAAATAACCAAGACAATTCATATGATTATACATAGGATAGTTGCTAAATAATGTAACATCAACTTTCGTAAACCCGATTGAATCAAGTTCACAGAAAGTTCGGTAATCTTTATTTAAAACACGATATAAAAACATCGATCGAGAATTTTTAAAACTGCAACCAATAACAAACGCTTTTCTCCGACAATTAAAACATATGTATCTCAGAATAATGAACTTTGATAAAGATAATTTTTATATGTTACATATATGTTAAGTTGTTCTAGATACACTGAAAAAATCAGCACTAGAGATTTTTGTTCAGAAGAATTATCAATGAAAAACTAGCGTTAAAGAATATCAACTTTCACTTCATGTATTTTAGTTTAACAAAAAAAACTCCGAAATGAGATAACATTTTTGAAAGATTAAATGGTACAATCTGTAGAAAAGTTATTAAAAATAATCGATTTACTTTTTGTTAGCGACGTGATGAAGTGCGAACGAATGCTCTTATAACCAAATGAGAAGTTCAAATTCATCTTCAAAATCTCTAGAGAATCAGTTTTGAAGTCCGATGTTGGTAATAATTTTCACCAGAAATTCACTTCATGCCGTAGAGTCTATCCTGAAGTTTTGGGTGCTTTATTTTTATGATTAAAGTGATATTCGCTAACTACTTTTTAATTAATAGTCATCTGTAAGAACCAACATTTTTACATATGTCTATGCTAAAAGAACTTATTCCAAAAAATAATCTTTGTACAAAAAATCAAAGTTAAATTTAAGGTGAATATGTCCCGTTTTCCCTGAAATGGCTCATACATTTTTTTTTGTTAAAATTTTAGGAACCTTAAATCGATTTCCGACTCGAACAACATTTCATACTACTAATAAAAAATGCCGATTACAGTATTTCTTCTTTTATTAATAGAAGAAATATATAAAAACATTTTTGTTTTATCATTCTTGATTTAAATAAGCTGATGTTTTTTTTTACCATTGTGTTGCGTTTGTTTCTAAAATTTCTTCTTTTATTAAATTATTTGTTGTTTGTTCATTTTCATCATTGTTTTGATTTGGTGGATTAATTGAAAGTAAAAATGATATCCAGATTTGTTGAAATTGTGTTCTTGATAACCAACCAACAAAGTGCTATACGTTCAATATAATCAACCATTATATTTGAATGTTGTGATAAATCAACAGAAAATGATGATAAACAATAATCATTTAAACCAATTATAATTTATTTATTTCTTGATAATGTTGTACTCAAAATAGTGTTGGTATACATATAAATGAATTAACTATTAGTAAACGAAATAATAATATAGCTATACGACGTAAATCATATTGACAAAAATATGGTATATATTTAATTTTTCTTGTTGAATAATAAAAACGATCAAGATTATTAAGAGGGATTGCACGCAAGCCACGACCGGTCTTGCGCAATCGATCTCACCGATTTGCCTAATATTTTCACAGTAGATAGGCCTAACATATTTAGGAAGAAACCTAAAATTTCAGCTCAAATAGATAAGCCAGTCTGGAGATATAGTCGACACAACTATTGGTGGCAGGTCACTTTTGGTGCATTTTGTAGTGCAATACTTTTCAGTAAATTTTCATTTTCGCAACAACGATAAGAGCTACAACGGAGATTTTTTTTACTATAGATACTATCGATTATGAGCTATCTTTTGATGGCATTGAAAATACCTTATCATCGGACTATTTTCGATCGGCACTCTACATCATTTTCAGAAAGTGTCTACATATGTATAAGGACTTGATCAGATTAGCATGGTAGAATAATTTGAAAATAGTCTCATTTGAAAGAGCGCATCAAAATCCGTCGAATGGCGTTTTCAAAACTTTGTGATATTGTATTTTGATATAGAAAGTATTGTTAACAATATATAGTTAATTTCATCAGAAAAATTTTCTGTATAAAATAAATAGTTGTGGGTGTGGGTGT